CCCTAACCCGTGGATTTGCGCCCCCTAACCCTAACCCCCAGATGTTGCGCCCGGTGCGGCCGGCCTCCCCTGCACCCCCCACACTACGCCACTGGCCCCACCCACAGATTGATCCGGGACAGAATCTGGGTTGGATTTACCTGGGTTGGCCCAGGTCAAGTAAGGGCTGCTCAAGGCCCCCAGACTGGGCTGCCAGATTGGGTTGGGAAGGGCTGTAAAGGGTAAAGGGGTAAAGGGGACCCCTGACCATTAGGTCCAGTCGTGACTGACTCTGGGGTTGCGGCGCTCATCTTGCTTTATTGGCTGAGGGAGCAGGCGTTTGTCCACAGACAGCTTCCAGGTCATGAGGCTAGCATGACTAAGCCGCTTCTGGAGAACCAGAGCAGTGCACGGAAACGTTTACCTTCCCGCCGGAGCAGTACCTATTTATCTACTTGCCCTTTGATGTGCTTTTAAACTGCTAGGTTAGCAGGAACAGGGACCGAGCAACGGGAGCTCACCCCTGTCACGGGGATTCAAACTGCTGACCTTCTGATTGGCAAGTCCTAGGCTCTGTGGTTTAACCCACAGCGCCACCGGCGTCCCTTTGGGGACATAGCCCTATTATCTACGCCGACTGGTAGCAGCACTAGCTAATTTCAGGCAGGATTCCTTCTCAGGCTTACTTGGAGTTGCGACAGATTGTGAGTGGGACCTTTGGCATGTAAAAGAAAAGCTCTTCTGTGTCTACGGTGACATTAGACTAGGTTCAGCCACTGGTTACAGGCAACATTTGCAGCTGTAGGAACCTGGGGTCTCCCTCTGCTGTGCAGATTTTGCCCCCCCCCTTAATGTTTCGGTTGGTTGGCATCTGTCTATCTCAGGAGACAATGGAGGAGTGCGCCTTTGGGGGTGAAGTCAAAAGGCTGGAAGGTTACATAGTGCTGGTGTTTTCCCAAGCAATTGCAAGAAAATATGCACCACAAAATCAATTAAAATAACACGGATGTGAACCTCCAAAAGGATTAACCAATTCTCAAATTCTGTCTCTTTAATTTGCATCCCAAAGCAAAAGTTTAGGGTTTTGTTTTTTTCCAATACCTGCAGCACTGCCACCCAGTCCCTCAGACTGAACATTGTGTTCTGTATCTCTTTCATCTGTAGCCATGGTTTTGCTAAATGTTACTGAAACAAAATTACAGCATGACAAAGTTTACATTGATTAATCGTGGAATTCAGGTTTAACACCATTAGAGTGCAGGCTCGTTTCAGCATTGTCTGATTAACAATGAAATGAACCATACCTTAGCTGGGTTCCCCCCGCCCCAGAAAGGCAATGTGCAAGAAACAATGGCTCCAACTTATTTTAATTACTTTTCCTTTTTTACAGAACACGGGAATGGAGATTACCTTTCATAAACAATGATGAGAGTTGTAGTTTTTCTCGTTTATACCATCATCAGTCAAAACAAATGAGCTTGGGCATGATAAGGTTTGAACTGCATAATTGTTTTTTTTCATTACAACTAGTTTATGCCAGCTGCTCACCTCCCCAGGAGCCACGGGGAAGGGAGGGAAACAAAAAAACACCATGCTCTGAAATCTTGACGTTAAAAAAAATGCCACATCAAAAGCCAGCATTAGGAAACCCTGCCTTGGAGGAAACAAGGGAGGAGGAAGGCAACTCCTGTGAAATGAGTAAAATCTAGGACAGGCATCCCCAAACTTGGCCCTCCAGATGTTTTGAGACTACAACTCCCATCATCCCCAGCTAACAGGACCAGTGGTCAGGGATGATGGGAACTGTAGTCCCAAAACATCTGGAGGGCCGAGTTTGGGGATGCCTGGTCTAGGAGGTGGGGAGTATGGGCAGGTGCGGGAGAAAAGGTAGAAGAGAGAAGGATGAAGGAAAAGGGATGAGAAAGTGATTCGAAAGACAATGTGGTAGGGACAAGGGGGAAATATGGGAGACGGGCAGAAGAAGGAAGGAACTGAGAATTAAAGAGGACACAAGGAAGAAAATGATGGTTGCAAAGAGAAAGGAAGGGTGTGGGATGGGGGCAAACAGTGGGAAAGAGAAAATGCTGAAAGAACTACTGAGAAAAGGAATGAGTAAGAATGGGAAAGCGAGAAGGAAGAAGGAAGGAAAGTGAAAGGAGGAGTGAAAGTGAACGACAGGGTTGTTGTTTTTCTTCTCTAGCTCAAACTCTCCAAAGTTAAGGGTCTAGAGCTGGGGGCACTTAAAACTACAAGCTGGAACCTGAAGCATAGCAGTTACCTGCTCTGGGGACAAGTCAAAAGGGCAAGGCTCCCATTTATACCAAGTCTGGCCAGTCCAGAGAATTATTGCAGAGATAACTGTTGCAGACCCCATTCCCTTTTACCCCTGGAGAGAGTGGTAGGGAGTGAACAAAACAGATCACAAAGGGTGTGCTGGATAAAATAGGACTTTAAATTTATTCCCCGCCACCCAACTAGTCAGGAGGAAAAATGGTGACAAGGACATTCATGGATCAAAAAGGAAAAGATGACTGTGAAGGAAACATAGAAAATAGATAGCTTTAATAAAGCAGAACTAAATGTAGGCTTTTCGTATTTTGCACCAGACAAAGGAATTAAGACAGAGCAGAAAGTATGCCTGTGTGTGTCTCTGTGTGTGTCTGAAACTATTACCAAAGAGGAAATGGAATAGCAGACTTTAGAGGCTTGAACAGACTAAAGAGGGTGTGTGTGTGTGTGTGTGTGTGTGTGTGTGTGTGTGAGAGAGAGAGAGAGAGAGAGAGAGAGAGAGAGAGAAGAAAGAGAGCAACAGTAGATAGGTCATCAAAAAGCAAACCCTTAGCCTGAAACAACATACCAAATAATTAATGGCAACAATGGGTCTCAGCACTATAGCAACATGCAATAATTCAACAGACAGCTGAAAAATAAAAATTATTCAGTGTGCTGTTTCATATCGTGCTGCAGCCAATGAAGGACTCTTAAAACCCCTCGAATTATCTGCATGGTGACATGAAATAAGTATGGTGGTAAAGTAGATGTATAACTCTGGCAATCCGGAGTAAACAGGATATGTTTATCCACTTGGCTCCAAATATTAAGAACTGTAGGTGATTGGGAATCAGCATATATTTGAAGGAATGCAGTAACGCCAACACAACTCGCATACTGATTCAACATGCTCGCAAAGAATTTCCATCCACCTACAGCAGGCATCTTCTAGTATGCATGGCTTCCAGTCAGACAAAAGCACAAGTTATTTCAGCTGCAAACATAAGTTAATGAAGGAATGCTTTTCCTCGGCGCACTGGGAGGCAGTAGCGCTTGTCAGGGTAGCACTTTGGGGTAGAAGCCCAGGACTCTACTCAACACAATGAGTAGGAGAGCTGGCTCACCACACTTTACCAACTGAGTAAAACGATAAACATTACCATCTAAACAACTAAGTTGAGAGTCTAAAAGCTGCCTAACTGTACCACTGGTATGTCTGTGTGTGAGAGAAAGGGAGAATAAAAGTCACTTAGGGAAAACTAAAGGGATCAATATCAGTTACTTTATAATATACAAAGGGCCAAAATTAGTCTTCTGCAAAATGTTTTGCATATATTTCTAAAACTTTACTCGCAGTGCAAAACCCACAGGGTTCAATAGCGCGCGCACACACACACACACACACACACTACCAACAGAGTTTAGGAGTGCACCTTTGTACTATTTGTAGGAAACATGCATCCGCCAATGTCACAGGCCATAATAGTGCCTTCAAGTTAGGAATTCAGTTTGTGAGAGAAAGAGCAGTATAGACCAAATGTATCACTTCTCACAGTCCCTGCATGATTCCCCACCTCTTTTCCAGTTCTCCAACCACAGTAATAGTTGTGAGCTTACTCTCTCGAAATCACGTTTAACTAGCCACAAAATTAGCTGAAGTAAGCTCCCTTTCCACTTCCATATATATGCTGGCTCTTTGATCATCCCTGAAAGTTTATCTGCTTTAGTATAGAGTACCTAAAAAAGGTAAAGGTAAAGGACCCCTGACAGTTAAGTCCAGTCGCAGACGACTCTGGGGTTGCGGCGCTCATCTCACTGGTGAGCTCCCGTTGCTTGGTCCCTGCTCCTGCCAACCTAGCAGTTCAAAAGCACATCAAAGTGCAAGTAGATCAATAGGTACCACTCCAGCGGGAAGGTAAACGGTGTTTCCGTGCGCTGCTTTGGTTCGCCAGAAGCGGCTTAGTCATGCTGGCCATATGACCCGGAAGCTGTATGCCGGCTCCCTCGGCCAATAAAGCGAGATGAGCGCCGCAACCCCAGAGTCGGTCAGGACTGGACCTAATGGTCAGGGGTCCCTTTACCTTTACCTAAAAGAGGTAAAGGCAAAGGACCCCTGACAGTTAAATCCAGTCACAGATGACTCTGGGGTTGCAGCGCTCATCTCGCTTTACAGGCCAAGGGAGCCGGCATTTGTCCACAGACAGTTTTTCCGGGTCATGTGGCCAGCATGACTAAGCCGCTTCTGGCGCAATGTAACACTGAAACCAGAGCAGTACATGGAAATGCCATTTACCTCCCCGCTGGAGCAGTACCTATTTATCTACTTGCACTACTTGGGTGTGCTTTCGAACTGCTTGGTTCTCAGAAGCTGGGACCGAGCAATGGGAGCTCACCCCATCGTGGGGATACGAACCGCCGACCTTCTGATCAGCAAGCCCAAGAGGCTCAGTGGTTTAGACCACAGGGCCACCCGCGTCCCATAGAGTACCTACTTGGAGTTAAACAAGTAGCATTGCCTTTTTGTTTACCATTGCCCAGCGATTTCAGCCTGCAGCCAGCTTTGTAGTGTCTGTAGCTACAGCTTTCACTGATCTCCACAGCAAAGTTTGAGCACTTTTTGGTAAATATACACAAAGTGCATGTTTGCTGGATTCTTCATACAGCATTGTCAGAAGATACCCAAACCTACATTCATAGAATAATAATAATAATAGCTTAGCTGTCAAAATATCTTTATTTACAATGTATTCCTTACCTTCCCAAAGTTTAATCTTCTTATATACGGGTCTACTCAGGCTTTTCCAAAGTATCAAAACTTTTCATGCACTTCTTCGGTATGCCAATTAATGCTCTTCTTTCCAGCTGTTTAGGAGAAAAAAGCGATAGTGTTTTAGTTTAGGAAGACAGTTCTCTCAGTGGTGTACCTACTATTATATATATATATTTACATTGCTAATGTTAAAACACAATCCATAAGTCATCTCATCATCTAAGATGATCAAACAAGGCATGACTTGTTTCTCCAAAGCGTGTCTTGTCTGCCATAATGACAAACCACAGTGACAAACCAACCAGAAAACAAACTCAGGTTAATTTGCTGGACTAGGTTCAGGTGTTCAAAAAAACCCCCCACAGTTTAACTAATCAAACCATAGTTCAGCATAGTATGTGAACCAGGTCAATGGAGATTTAATTCAACAAAATACAGTGGTACCTCGGGTTACATACGTTTCAGGTTACATACACTTCAGGTCAGTGGCGTAGTGTGGGTTGTCAGCACCCGGGGCAAGGCAAGTAATTTGTGCCCCCTAGCCCGTGGATTTGCGCCCCCTTACCCGTGGATTTGCGCCCCCTAACCCTAACCCCCAGATGTTGCGCCCGGTGCGGCCGGCCCCCCTGCACCCCCCACGCTATGCCACTGCTTCAGGTTACAGACTCCACTAACCCAGAAATAGTGCTTCAGGTTAAGAACTTTGGTTCAGGATGAGAAGAGAAATTGTGCAGTGGCGGCGCGGTGGCAGCAGGAGGCCCCATTAGCTAAAGTGGTGCTTCAGGTTAAGAACAGTTTCAGGTTAAGAACGGACCTCCGGAATGAATTAAGTATTTAACCTGATGTACCACTGTACAATCTTGCTAAACGGATCATGGCCTCCCTAAAGAATTCTGAGAATTATAGTTTGGTGAGAGTATTTAAGAATTTCAATACAAATTCCTGGACTTCTCATAGGAACACAGAAAGCTGCCTCATACTGAGTCAAGACGATTGGTCCACCTAGGTCAATGTTCTTGACATTGATCAGAGGCAGCTCTCTTGAGGTTTCATACAGGGGACATTTCCAGTCCTACCTAGAGAAGCCAGAGATTGGACCTTCTGCATGCCAATTAGTGCTTTACCTCTGAGCTACAACCCTCCTGCAAACTTCAATGAACTAAGCTGTCAGGGTTCCTTAAAGCAAGGGGACTATTGTTTTAACTACCGGAGTACATTGCGTAAATATGCCTGAAGTGTTGGCTTCTATATGACGCACAGACAGCAGCAATAGTTTTTAGTACAAATTAAACAGCCACTAAATGTGAAGGCTGAAAACTCAAACCTCAGCCTACTATGTTGGGACAATGTCCCTGTTTCCCAGTGTCTCTTTCCCTGACACCGATCGCAAAAGCGCTATTCTAACTTTTCTGGCGGAGGTGTCAAGAGTACAGCACTCTGGCAACAAAAAACCTGTTGTAACTGAGAGACGACGATTCAATTATTTCTCATGCTTCCCTCCAGAGGTAGTGACCCTTTTTGGAGCCTGTCATCACAGGCTATCACGTTTCTTTCTATTCTTTTAACCCTGAAGCTTAAACGACTTCTAGTTAGCCAGTTGCCAACCAAAGATGCAAGACACCGGAGCCTCATCCACTTCTGGGTGGTTGGGAGTTTCTCTAAATCATTAGGCTATTTCCACATGACTTGGGGCCAAGTACAAGATACATAAGTTACATGTCTACATAGTATTTAGGACTATTTAAGCCATGCCTCTTTCTTCACGAAAACCAGTCACCAAGTTCCCCCAATCTGCATCAGGACTGCAGTACCGGGGGCGGGGGGCGGGGCGGGAAAGCTTTCAACCCTTCCCTCTGTGCTCTTTTTCCACCTAAAATGGTCCCTGTTATGTACTGAGCTGAATCCTAGAACAATAGGGTCCAGAATGCAGCAGGAGCCACCCAATCCAGCTCTAGGTGGAAGTGAATCAGCGGCCTGCTTGGCCTGCAGGAACAGCCAATCAGGCTCCTGGATGAAGTGAATCAGTAACCTGATTGGCCTGCAGAAGCAGCCAATCAGGCTTCTGGAGGAGGTTAATCTGCAACCTAATTGTAGCAGCCTGGAATTAGCCAATCACGCGGGGCCCATTGTGTAAATAATGTATATATAGCGAGACGTTTTGGGGGAAGTTTCATTCATTGCTACTATGAGCTGAATAAAGAGCATGACATTCACACTCGACTCTGAGTATATTTCAGTCCCTGAAGGCAGCTGCGGCAAACAGCAACTTGTGAGAGATGTTCAACAGCAAAACAACACATCAGAAAACTTAACCCACCATGCTGTGTTTCCCTTTCAGATTGTACCCCTCACCAACTGCTTTGTCTTTGGAACATGACCTGCCCAGTCCCCATGCAGACTATTTAAATTCCCCACCAATGTAAAATGCAGTTTGGCTCTTAGAAAGCTGGCATCTCTATTCGCGTGGTCCGAGACACCTTGTAAATATCTGAAAATGAAGCTGGTTGGTCACTGTAAGAACAGGATGCTGACCTAGATAGATCTTTGGCCTGAAGCAGCAGGTCTCTTCCTATCTTCTAAGGAGGCCACAAAGTGCACCTCAGCACAGTAAAAGCCCTTCCGCATCAGTCAAAAAAAGCTGGGGAACTTGTCCAGAATATCCCAATTACTAGAAGAACCCGAAAGGGAAACATTTCCCTTAGCTATACAGTCAGGACTCGGGACATTAGTTTTACCTCATAAATAGGAGAAGCAAGCAAAAAAAAAAAAGTGTACAGGGGATGGAAATGTTGGGCCATGGAAGTTCTGTTGCCACTTCACACACTTGAATTAACATGGTGTGGGGAGGGAATTCCCTATAGCATGCCAGGAAAGTGCTTCATCTGGAGAACGCAAGCTTTATTTATTAAAGTGTGTGTGTGTGTGTGTGTTATATATACTAGCTAAAAGGATCCCTTGATGTTTCATAAACCTGAACTGCCTCTGCAGTTAGAGAGAGTGGGAACCTTGTAAATTAATCACTCCTGACTAGCGCCAGTAAGGCTTCTTTCCTTAACAGGTAAGAAACAAAAGCTCTTCACACATTTAATTGTTTCTACTTCCTCCTGCGGTGAAAAGTGGTCCACCGACATGCGGTTATCGCATCAGCAAAAAGGACTCAAAGGCAACACTGCAATATACCCTCCCAGGAGGGTAAAAACTAAGTGGGCCAATATATAGGGTATAGAGAGGTCTCACTATTTGCTATCACTAGTTCAGGAGCCAAAGCAGCATGCAACTAGGGGCCCTTGCAAGAGCCCCCCCCCCGACACTAAGCTTTAATGTTAAATAAATACAGTAGTACCTCGGGTTACATATGCTTCAGGTTATAGACTCCGCTAATCCAGAAATATTACCTCAGGTTAAGAACTTTGCTTCAGGATGAGAACAGAAATTGTGCTCCGGCGGTGCAGCAGCAGCAGGAGGCCCCATTAGCTAAAGTGGTGCTTCAGGTTAAGAACAGTTTCAGGTTAAGAATGGACCTCCAGAATGAATTAAGTACAGTGGTACCTCGCAAGACGAATGCCTCGCAAGACAAAAAACTCGCTAGACGAAAGGGTTTTTTGTTTTTTGAGCTGCTTCGCAAGACGATTTTCCCTATGGGCTTGCTTCACACCGTTTTCTTAACACCGTTAATACAGTTGCGACTTGACTTCGAGGAGCAACTCATAGAACGCGGTGTGGTAGCCTTTTTTGAGGTTTTTAAAGACTTTGGTGATTTTTGAAGCTTTTCCAAAACTTTCCCGACACCGTGCTTCGCAAGACGAAAAAAATCGCAAGACGACAAAACTCGCGGAACGAATTAATTTCGTCTTGCGAGGCACCACTGTACTTAACCCAAGGTACCACTGTAAATAAATCCTGCTAGAATGAAAGTTATGAAGCTAAATGTGCAGGTATCCTTCTGTACTATTTCTGTGAGATTAGCCAGTCTGGCTGCTCCCACCTTCAAGTGCTTTTAGCCAATGAGTGAAATCAGGGCTGTGAATGATGAGTGGGGTTGTTTGGACATGAGGTGCAAGGAATCCCTGGGATCTTAAAGAGCTGCTATTTTCCTCTCCTCTTTAGTGCACTTTTCTTGCTTCTGCCTTATTTTCTAGTCCTTGGAATCTCAAGGACCTACTAGATTGCCCTTTCTTTCCACAAAGCAACCAGGATGCATTGTTCCTATGGTTGGTTTGTCTGAGGTCAAGTTCAACTCCCTAGAAGTTGTTTTCTGTAAATATTACTACTACACAGTAAGTGTGAGTGGAGGTTAAAAAAAATCCCCCCTCCAAAAAAAATAGCAAAGTACAAAATGTGAAAACTTTGCAAAGAGGCTTAGGCATGTCTCCTCAAATACCGGTACACATTAAGAATTCACTATATAGCTAACTTGCAGTACAGTATGATGGTATAAATCATATACCCAGAGGTAATCTTTTCTTCTTTTTAGTTTAATAGGACTTGCACCCAGGTAGGTACAAGACTGCAAACTTGGCTTTAGTTTTGTGGTACCTTATATATTGTGATCCTTTCTGGGGGAAGGGAGGCACCATTTAGGAACTTCACCGGCAGCACCTTTAAGTGGCCTTGACTGATGTTTAGAAATATTTACATGCAGATTACTTCAAACACCGACTCCAATACAGTGGTACCTCGGGTTACATATGCTTCAGGTTACAGACTCCACTAACCCAGAAATAGTGCTTCAGGTTAAGAACTTTGCTTCAGGATGAGAACAGAAATCGTGCTCCGGCAGCACAGCAGCAGCAGGAGGCCCCATTAGCTAAAGTGGTGCTTCAGGTTAAGAACAGTTTCAGGTTAAGAATGGACCTCCGGAACGAATTAAGTACTTAACTCGAGGTACCACTGTACTAAGGTTTAGCAGTTCAACAGGAACGTTTCACAAAGGCAGTTCATGTTGTGGTAAGCTGATATTTAGCTTTGTATTCGGAGTCTCAAAAGAGAGTGGTTGCAGTTCCAGAATAGCCTACAAGACTCTCACTCAGGCATGCGAAATAACCCCATGAAGAAAGTGAATAGGATAGAATAGGATAAAGGAGCAAAATCC